CTCCTGGCCTATGAGCGGAGGCCCAGGCAGGAGGGTGGACTCCTGGCCTATGAGCGGAGCCCAGGCAGCAGAGAGCTCTCAACAGCCATCTGGGAGCCAAGGAGGCTGAGGTCCTCACCCCAGCGTTCATTCACTATCAATTTGGTATTCAAAGCTATTTAACTTCTTTGAATCTTATTCCCATCATCTGTAGTTAAAATGGAAACAGTTATGCCCATCTGTGATGATCTCGGAGAAGCACTTGGCACCATGCTATGGCCATCAATGCCCAGTAAGGGGCAGCCATGTATGGCCCAGGAGGTGAAGGAAAGGGAGTCCCCACTTAGGAGGGCAGTGTGACCTCACACATGCAGGGGTCCACATTTGATGGGGATCAATCCTTTTGGGCTGACAGCATTGTCTTTCTAAGCTGATGGATTGACCAGAAGGGGTGACCCTGTGCTCTCTCCCGGGAGCCCAGGGTTTACAATGCAGTCACGTCCAGAGGCCAAACAGGCACCCAATCCCAGGATCCGCTGCACCCAGGGGGCACAGCCCAAGCTGTATTTGGGCTCTCTGTTTGAAAGAAGACCAGGAATTGCACCAGGATGAAAGTCCAAATACAGAGAACTTTACCTTTAAGATACTGGATGTCCGTGGTCAAGGCAGAGGCCAACTCGTCTGTGGACACTTGTAACATTCCAGCCACTGAAATTGAAGCAGTATTATAAAACTCAAGTTAGTGTACGTTTGATACTCAGAACATTTATATATATAGGACATCTTTACATAGACACATGAGAACACATGTATCAAAGAAAAGTAACTACTACTGTAATTGCCAAATTCAACCAGAGAAACATCTTAAAGGAATCAACTCGTCACTAAGTTTTTGTGGCTCTGCGCACGAAATCATAACAGGTCTGGGGGCACTGCTGTTCTCACAGACAGTGATGCATTGTTTTCTCCATATTCTTCACTAGATCACTTTGATGTCGTGAAGATGGGCTCCTTTAGTTTTACAGTAATTTTTTTAAGTGGGGGTGACTAGAAAGGTCATTTCAAAGATGAGAGAAATTTCTGGCAAGGTCTCATACTAAGACAAAGTTGCCAAAAACATATATTGCAGAAAAGATAGCATTTGAAGGGAAGCCGCTACATCTTGTTTAAAATGTTTAGCTACCAACATCTCCCCCATATAAACTGGGTGCCATGGCTAGAGGCAGAGAACACTTAAGAACAATAAAAAGTAAACTCAAGTAAGTGCGGAAGAAGCAGAGCTGCTGGAAGAGAGCCCTGCAGCACCCACTGGCCCTCAGAGCCAGGCCACTCATAAAGCAAAGTAGATGCTCCCCACATTGAGCCCTACTCCTGAGAAGGGCCTGTGCCCCGGGCTTTTCTGTACTGTGTCTCCATCTACTGGCAGCTCGGCAAAACTGCACAGCAGTGAGGTTCCTGCCCACCACTCCACTGACCTTGTTCTAGAAGCTGGAGGTCAGAGACAAAGGCAGAGTGAGCGTCCGTCAGCGCGGTGAACTGGATGTCTCCAAGGTGCAATATTGCTGCTAGAATAGCAAATAGGTTCTCCACCTCCTGCGCAGTTTACAAATAGAGAGCATCAACAGTCTTGCTTAGAGGAAAGACTGAAACAGAGATCCTTTAAAAGTCTCAGAGGGTACAAAAGGGGTGTGGCCCTTGTTCATAGGATTGTGGCTTCAGATTCTAAATGTTTGGTGAAAGAACCACCCATGTCTGCCTCAAAATCACAATCTCATGGCTCAAGGCACATTTCCTCTAAATCAATGTTTCTGTTCCTCAGACATAAGACAGCGAGAAAGTGCTCTTCTGATATAAATCGAGGGGTTTTGATAACCGTCACACCCAAACACGAATGGTCTGTACTGCGGTCTGACTGGCTGGGCATCCCTTGTGAGGTCACTCGGGTCCTCTAAGGCCGACTCCGGCCTGCCAAGGCCAGGGGGCCCCGCTGGGCAGCACTGTGGCTGCCCTCCTCAGGAGCCCACTCTGCGGCAGCCGTTCCTCCTTCTCTCCCCGTGACACAAACGGAGGTGGTGGTTACAGAGCTAGAGAAACAAGTGGCTAGTTGTGTTTCCAGGCATCTTAAGGAAAACCAGGGAACAGACAGACGTGGGCCCCAACTGCCTGAGCAGGACGCTCAGGAAGAGAGAGTGTGCTGAGGGGAGCTCTGGGAACCCCCCTCTGCAGAAGGCAGACGGACGCCTGGGGTTGAGTGAGGAAAGGCGATTTGTGGCAAGAATGGAAAATCAAGAAAGAGCTGCGGTAAGCGATGCTTCCCTAGAGCACCCAGTCTTTAGCACGATGCTGTCCACAGTGGAAGAGGCTGAGCCAGGGCCGAGGCCAGGGCCCCTTAGCTCTCAGTTCCCTAATTCAGGAGTAAGCCCTGGCCACGCCCATGTGGAGGGCGTCCTACCCACAATCTCATTTGACCTACAAACACAGATCAAAGCAGCAGCATCCCTGGGGTTCCGTGACTTTCCTCCAAAACGCTCCGTTTTCATGGAAAGCCATGATTTCAGAATCATCTGGAGCACGAGAGCATGGGGAGAGGTGACCTTGATACTCTCCAGGATGACCACTCTGTGATCGCGGCGTCACTCAAAAACATGTTTGCTGATCCTAAACCCAACTCAGGGTGTCCAATTTAATCCATCTTGCTTCATAGAATAGCATTTCCCAGCCCATGAGACTCTGGGACAGTGGTTTCCCTTTTCAGCAATTCTAATAACTCTTCATTAGTGTCCTGGAGCCTGCAGAGTGGACGCCTCTGGATCGACAGACAAGAAGAATGTGCACTGTCCTCAAGGGTCTTTCCCTTCAGGGTGGAGACAGAGCTGTGGGTGCCACCTGTGGTGCCCACTGTGAGGTGGTGAGTTCCGAGACAGGGAGACATCAGGTCCTCTGGGGTGGGGGGCTGCTAGGCTGTGTCTGTGTTCAGTAATGGTCCCCTGCTGCCCAGCGGCCACTGGGGACACAGGGCGGAGGTGGAGGCGTCTCTATGCACAAAACTCTGGGGCCCATGGTGCCTGACACATTTTGACCCCAGGTGCTCAGCCCAGAAACACTGTCCTTTGGCTGGTAAGGGAAATTAGATATCCCTCCTAAGTGAAATAACTGTCCCCATTCAAGTCACTTTAAAGGATCACGATGAAGAGGTGCATTTCAAGTCTTTTGTTAAAATATACATGTCTTTTACCAAAAAGGCTGCCCGATTCTCCACTAGCTACCTGGGCCAGCGGGTGCATTTTGCCTGCCCTGCCTTTGAGGATCAATCACGGAGTTTCAAAGCCCTGTTTCCAAGCAACTGGTCTTTAGGTAGAAGGGCTCCCTGCCCCTCTCTGTGCCCCTTTTTCCTGTAGGGGAGGTGGGCATCTCCAGCACGAAGGGAGGGAAACAAAACAGCAGCAGCAGCCAGAGGACAGGGCCGTGCGAGCGGCTGGAGCCAGGGAAGGCAGACTGCAGAGGAGGGCAGAGGGCCACGCGGCCTGACCGTGGCACTGCCGGCCAGCTCCACCCAGACAGACACTCAGCTCAGCCCGTCTCTGTGGTGAGCAGGTGGGCCGGGCCAGGAGCCCGCATGGATTCCACAGTCCACTCCTGGCCCTTCCCGGGTGCTCTCCCGCCCCCTCCCACACCACCCATCAGCCACACCTGTGGTCAGGGGAAGACAGGCCCGCATGAGTGGACACACTGGCTTCAGACAGACAGATGGCATTTACGTGGGTGACGAAATCGGGGGACTCCTGGCATACCCCAGCAACCTCACGCTCCTCGTTTCTGAGGACGTGGCCAAAATCCAAAACAGTGTCACATACGGGCATGCAGAAAACACGCCCAGGAAGCAGAGGTCAGGGACCACCAACCACCTACGGTTCTTTCACTTGAATTAGTTAAAAGAAGGAATCACTTAGAGTCCCATTCTTCACCTCCTTGACCTCACTTCAAGCACCCTACAGCCACACAGGCTCACAGCCACCACACTGTGCCCACCAACGGGGACACCAGCACTGATGTGGCAGGCTGCGGCTTTTCCGTGAAAATGGGCAGCTCTTCGACTTGGTATTTAAGAATAAAGTTTTCTGTTGCCTGAGGAGACATTTATTCTAAAGTGCTCACATTGCTCCTCAGTGATTCTGAGCAGTGGGCAGCTGCTCAATCCACAGTTCCTGGGTAGGCTGGCGGGCAGGGATGCTGGGTCTGTTCTGGACATGGACAGGGCTCCTTGGCCACCATCTTGACAGTGTGCCCTCTCCTGTCCCACTCTGTCCACGGCTCCTAGTCCCTGCCACCACGTCCTCTTTGTCTCCTGACCCTCTAGTGAGCGCTGGGGGCAGGAGAATCTGCGCTCTGCTAGGCCACTGGTGTCTGCAGCAATATCTGGAACCTAGCGGGGTCGAGAAATGCCTGAGTGGACCCCTGGGCTGTGGAGGGAGGTTCACTCCGTGAAACACAGTAGCACTCACCACAGCGCTGAAGCCGACAACATTCAGAGCTTGTTTCAAAACCGCGAACTTCTCCCTGTTCAGAGAGCGCTCTGCTGTGGACACATCTTCCCGTGTGGTCTGGTTCAAGTACCTGTTGGGACAAAGACATGGCTTTAGGGCTTGGCCCGGAGTGAAACCCGAGTGGTTGGAAGACACTTCAGCCATATTTGGTCTCCATAATAATGGAAATCGCCTGGACATTGTGTCCTGGCGTGTTTACAAAGCTTTCAGTACGTAACAGCACATACTGTTTCAGGAAAGGAAGAGACCCCGTTCTGGCTATACTAGAACATAATTGCACCACGTGACGTGCCTCTCACCTTAGCTGCACCCAGCCTTGTGAAAGGAGAAAGTTCCAAGTACTCAGTGCACTTCATATAGAATCCGGCAGGCACTATCATATGCATTGTAATTAATGTGTGCATTAAAGAGACTAACTTACACTCACATCGTTTCTTCTTGTCGGTACCTTTTAATTATAAGGTAATTGATTAATTCATTAATTTATTCTTTTCATTCAACAAACACATGAATCACCTACCAAATACAGGAAACAGCAGGCAGCTGAGGACTATGTGGAGGTGAAGGAATCCTTCCTGGACCTCAACTGTGAAACACAACATACCCAGGGGCAGCAAAGATGGCGGTGGGCAGGTGGGGAAAAGGAGGACAGCACAGTGCATGAGCGTAGGGAGGCAGCAGTACCCAGATGTGGACAAGGAGGAAAAGCTTTGGAGGAGTGGGCTCTGGTTCCAAAGAGCAGCACATGAGCAAGACTGGCCAAGCACAGAGGCCGTAAGGCTGACCCGGGATACAACAGTATGAAGACACACAGCGTTGTGCAGCGTGGTGCATGAGGAGCACAGAGTCTGTACATGCACTCTAAGGAGCCGTGGCCAGGGGCTGCTAGGTTGGAGAAGCGCCAGAGCTTTGTACACCCTGCACAAGAGTCTCAGGCAGGTTCCGGAGGGATGGGACAGAAAAGAGGCACAACCAGCTTGGAGTGTCAGGAGTGTTCTTGCACACTGGTGGGAGGTCACCTGGAAAGAGATGAGACAACTAAGGGTAGCAGGTGATCCAGGTGTGACCAACCCTGGTGAGCACAGAGCAGGGAGCCAGGCAGAAACAGTCAGGAGGAGCCGTGGTCTGTGCACAGGGCCGCAGAACAGGAACGAATGGTGCTTTCCAAGCCTCTGTCTGGGGAAACTGCTGGGATCAGGGCCCATCAACCAGAGCGCATTCTCTATTGCAGGTATGCTCCTGAGAGAGGAAAGTCTCATACTTTCTATCAGTCGCATTGAAGTTCAAGCTCAAGTGGAGCCCAAGATATAACAGATATAAGAGCCTAGAATTAAGAAAAGACTAGAAAATCTAACCTGGAAACCATCCTCATGCCGGGGATTAAAGCCATGTAAGTGGACTGTGGGGAGGCACGGGGGACCTCGGAGGAAACAGGCTGATGGCTAGGTGGGGTTGGGACAGACTTGTGTGCACCAGCTGAGACAGAAGCACATGCAGACTGGACACTAACACTCATAGTCATGCACGCAAAGTCATACATTCTAATACACTCACAGATACTCACATACTCTGACACACTCATGGATACAAAACACAAACGTTTTCACACATACACACACGTACACACATACCCACACATATATATATATTTTTAAGAGAGAGAGAGAGAGAGAGAGAGAGAGAATTTTAATATTTATTTTTTAGTTACGGCGGACACAACATCTTTGTATGCGGTGCTGAGGATTGAACCCAGGCCGCACGCATGTCAGGCGAGCACGCTACCACTTGAGCTACATCCCCAGCCCATACCCACACATATTTGCATTTACATGCACATTGATGTGTAAGCACATGCTTACACCCAAACTCACTCTCAAACATTGATGCACACATACTCATGTACACCCTGACATACAAAAACATGCAATTCACACTCATATACTCTCAGACATTGACACAAACATGCACTCATAGGCACACTCACACTCGTACTTATTCACACTTATACATTTTTCCACTAACACACTCATGCACACACACAACCATGCACACATCCAAACACTCTCTCTCATACACATTCACTCACACACATTCACACTCACATGCTCTTCTGTTGCTCGAACACTAAAACACACTTGTGCCCATGTCACACTCTCACTCACACTCCTACTTGCACTCACACACACACATTCATGCACACTCATACTCAAACACACACACTCAACGGTGATACCTCTGAGGGGATAAAGCACTCCATCTGCTCCCTACAGCTACCCACATTCAGATCTGGCCGTTTCTGAGACAAACACCATGTTTCCACAATGCCACCTCAGACACAACGCGTCAAAGGGAGGCTTCTTCCATGCCTCTGTCTGATGCCACCCTTGATCACTGTGTAGGTTAACATCATATTGGGGGTGATCACAGAGCAACTGGCTCCTCTAACTGTGGAGTTAAAAGTTCAACGGCCACCGTTCCTCTGCAATTCCCTAAGAAATAACCCAGCATGCTCCTCCTGGGCTCCCTCCAGGGTCACCCGAAACTGCTCCTGCAGTGTGGTACAGGAGGAGCAGCGGCTGTGCCCTGTCCTATGTGGGGCACGAGGACCACAGCAGACGTGTTCCTGGTTCTGGGAGGAGCAGCCACGTGAAGTCAATGCTGCAGTTACAGGCAGGCTCTGGGCATGAAGTGGACCAGAAGGAGAACAGGCAAAGAGGGTTTGCCTACGGAAGGAAGGATGTTTTCATATGGGGTGAAGCACCTTCCTCTGCAGCAGGAAAACTGGTTGGCATAATGATGATAAAAAGAAAAAAACAAACGTCTTTTTAGGCAACATGCTGCACACCTATAGTCCCAGTGGCTCAGGAGGCTGAGGAAGGAAGATCACAAGTTCAAAGCCAGCGTCAGCAACTTTGCAAGGCCTTAAACACCTTAGAGAAACCCTTTCTCAAAATTAAAAAAAAAATTAAAAAGGGCTAGGGATGTGGCTCCGTGGTGAAGTGCCCCTGGATTCAGTTCCTGGTACAAAAGAAAAAATATTAAAAAATGAAATTTTTTCTGCTGCTCATAGCATTTGAGATGATTTCAACTGAAATACATGTCTTAATTATCAGCCTAAAATTGTATTTTAAAATGTGAATGTCATGAAAAAATTATACACAGGCCCCAGCACCACCCAGGTCTCTGCTACCTCTGTGACTGTGCACAGTTGTACTGTTCCCGAGTCCACCCTACGTCACGGAGCTCTGATGTTTGTGTCTCTCCATGAACTAGTTAAAAGAGTCCCAAGAAAACCAACAGAGTGCACATGAGCCTTTTAAAAACTTTTTGGTCTTATTCACATTAATAAATTCTTCTAAAAACCAATGGATATTACATAGAAGAAGAAATAAAAAGACTTATAAAAGTATGAATTTCACAAAAATGGGAACACAGTCCCTTGGAGACTTGCCCAGGCGGTTGTGTGAACCAAGTGCTTCCCTGGGCAGCCTGCTGCAGAGTGGACGTTTTAGTGTAACTGTTTGGCCTCTGGGGACATCAGGCTTGTCTCTAGTTTGAGGCTGTTATAATAAAGCCACAATGGACATGCATGCACAGGTGTTTGTGCAAACACAACGTTATTTCTCTGGGACAAATGCTGGGGGGGGGTGCGCAGTGAGAGCTGGCTCATGTGGTGGCTGCACAGTTTTATGAGGAATCCAAACTCCTGTCCAGCGTGGCTGCTCTCCCCTGTGTCCATCAGCAATGCAGAGGGCTGCAGTTTCCCCACAGCCTCGCCAGGAACCACAGTCACATCAGCCACTCTGGTGGGTGTGTGGGGATGTCACTGGCTTAGCATGCCCTTCTCTTATGTGCGTGAGGCCTCCGTGTCCCCTCTCGTGTGCGTGTGTGGCCTCCGCATCCCCCCTTTGTGAAATACCTCTTCTTGTCTTCAGGTCATTTGCTCATGGTTTTAAAATGGTGTTTTTCCTGCTGTTGATTTTGGAGACTTCTTTTTCCATCTTAAACCTCTGTCCTTTGTTAAATATGTGGTTCGCAATATTTTCTCCCAGGATACAGCTCGTCTTTTAATCCTCTTAATGGAGTTTTCTGAAGAATAAAGGCTTTATATTATGTAATACAATCTATCCATTTTTTTCTGGTAGGGTTCTTATGTTTGGTGTCAAGTTCTTGCCTTGTCCTAGATCCCAAAGATTCCCTTCTTCCTGTCTGTAAAAATTGTAGAGCATTATGCTTTACCTGTAAGTCCATGATATATTCCAATTTTTTGTATAAGGTGTGAGGTTTTGTTTTGTTTTGTTTTGTTTTGCTTTGCTTTTGTTATTTCTGTCCTGTTTCTATTTTGGCCATAGATGTGCAACTGAGCCAGCACCTTCTGCCAAAAGCTCTCTTTCCTTACGCGGATTGCTCTGCACTTGTCAAAAATCAAGTGGGCAATATTTGTGTGAGTCCATTTCTGCAGTCTCTGTCCTACTCTCCTTATGCGTGTGTCTGTCTGCCTACCAATAGCATGCAATCACTGTAGCCACATGATACATCTTAACATGGATAGACTGATTCCTCTGATTTAGTCTTCTTTCAAGATTATTTTAGCTATTCCAGGCCTATGTCTTTACACATAAATTTTAGAATAATATTATTTATGTGTCTTAACATTGTGAAGATTTCAATAGGAATGGCATTGACTTTATAAATTATCTCGGGGATACAGACATTGTTGCTATATTGAGTTTTCCTATCCATGAACATGGTATGTCTCTTTGATTTTGCTCATCAGTATTTTTTTTGTAATTTGTAGCATACAAATTCTGTAAATATGTTGCTAAGTGTATATCTGAAGAGTTCACTTTCTTGGAGGATCTGGGAAGGGTATAATGTTTTTAAGTTTGATTTCCACATGTTCAATGTTAATTCATAGTAGTTAATATTTGCAATTGATTCTGTGCACTAAGCTTGTCTCCTTAGACCTGATGAACTCACTCATTAGTTTAATGTGATTTTATGTAGTTTTCTCAGTTCCCCCTTTTCTCACCATGAAATCTGATGGTGCTTTCTTTCAGCTAAGTTTAC